TTTTTGGGGTTTTGGGGCTAGTGGAAGGGAGAGAGAGTGACAGAAACACCAATGGCAGAGAGATATATGGATTGGTTGCTACCTCTGATACACAGTTAAACATTTTTAAGACAATATGAATGAGCATTCTTTAAAAGTAATAAAATTCCGTTATCATTTTAAAAGGCACTTTTACATAAATCACCTAACATTTACATAAATCACCACAAACATTTATATACATCATCACAAAAATATTTATACTCAAGTAGTATCTCCGTAATAGCAGATTTTAAAAATGCTCAATAATACAGCCCTGCTTTCAACACTAACATGTCATCTAGTCTGAGCAGCCAGTGGCACAGGTATCCTGAGTTAAGCGAGCGGCTATAGGGTCAAGCCTCAGGCTTACTTGTGGCAGAGCCACAAACAAGTTCCAGCCTGGAGGGCAGAGCTCTCCTACCACAATTAAGCCTGATCTTGTAGCCCTCCCTAATTCCTTCCTAGTAGCTAATGTGCTGTGGTAGGTGCAGTAAGTGTTGTCAAATACAGCCCTGCTTTCAACACTAACATGTCATCTAGTCTGAGCAGCCAGTGGCACAGGTATCCTGAGTTAAGCTAGCGGCTAGAGGGTCAAGCCTCAGGCTTACTTGTGGCAGGGCCACAAACAAGTTCCAGCCTGGAGGGCAGAGCTCTCCTACCACAATTAAGCCTGATCTTGTAGCCCTCCCTAATTCCTTCCTAGTAGCTAATGTGCTGTGGTAGGTGCAGTAAGTGTTGTCAAAACAAGAACATTTGTATACAAGTTATTCTACTCTTATTTTAAATCAGACTATAAAATAAAGCATTGGCTTGCAGGCTGGGTTTTGTGTCCTCATCCAGGCATGGGAGATCCACAGAGCCCCAGCTGTATTCTCTTGTCTGTCTTTTCTTCAATCCTTCACTGCCCTTCCTCAGGTTCACCCTTGGCCATGCTGGTGAGGCACACCTGAGGTCTGCAAGTTTTTTTTTCTGATTACCACCAGGGATGAATCCAATCTTTATTCAATGACTCCACTCCTACCCATCACTCCCCACCTCCCAACTCCCACCTGTACCCCAGGCTGACTGCTACAGCTGTTTGGGTGAAGCAGGATCAGGGAGGCCCCAGGCAGAAGCTAAGTCCCAGTGGGTGGTTTGTGCTGCGCTCTCTTCCCTGACCTCAGGAGTAGAGCATAAGACTGAGGGGGAAGAATGCTGGGGGCTTCTGCTGGGAGGGAAAAAGAAGGAAACACCAATTTATTGAGCTCTTACTCTATGCCAGGCCCAATGCCAAGCCCTCAACATGCTCCATCTCTTTGGATCTTACAAGCATCCACTAAGCTGGGTGAGCCCCATGATCCTCATTTTGCAGGGGAATTGGGTTCTTGCCTAAGGTCCCCCTACCCAAAAGTACCAGCTCCTGAAACCTTAGCTTGGAGTCTTCATTTGGGTGTTCTTTGATTAGGGTCACTGTGAAGGGTTAATTTTATGTCTCAACTTGACAGCGCTAAGGGTTGCCCAGGTACCTGGTAAAATAATACTGGGTGTGAATGGATGGGGCTAGCTTTTGATTCAGTAGATGAGTAAGTAGATCTTACAGTGCTGGTGGGCTTCCTCCAAATTCTGGGAGAACAAGAGGAATAGAAAGAGGAAAGATGAATGAATTGTCTCTTCTTTGGCAAGATGTCTATCTTTACATACAAACACACACACACACACACACACACACACACACACACACATCTTGGATTTCAGAGAGGAAGAGACAGGGATAATAGAAACATCAGGAGAATCACTGAATCACTGATCAGATGCCTCTTGCAACACTGCATGTGCCTTGACAGAGAATAGGACTGTGACCTCCTGGTTCATAGTTGAAGCTCAACCACTGAGCCTTGCCAGCCAGGTGTGAGATGGCTATATATACCTGCCCATGTACATTGGAGTTCCTGGTTCTCAGGACTTCAAACTCCTGGATTTCCACCAGCTGCCCTTTATTCTTTGGCCTCTGAAAGGGAGTTACACCATGGGCTCCCTGGCTCTCAGACCTCCAGATTTAGACTGAGTGATACCATTGGCTTTACTGGTTCTCCAATTAGTAAAGCACAGATGATAGGGCTCAACGTATGAGCCTATTTCTATAAATGTCTTACATATGTCCATGTAGCCCCTATTGGTTAGTCCGGAGAACACTGCCTAATAGAGGGACCTAGCACAGGCAGTACCTCAACCATTTCATTTACCCCTTTCTTCTGTTACCCATCCTGACAAGCTGACTTCAAAACATGATACACTAAGCTTCCTCCATAGAGAGAGCTGAGAGAGGTTATGAGAATAATGCCAATTTCCCATAAATATGACCTTTCTCTCCCCTTCAGCCCCCCTCACCAGGCTTATATTTTAATGTGGTATAAAAATACTAAGGAAAAGTCTTATGTCCACTAATAACTTTAGTATTTTGGTCAAAGGAATTTGTATGATTTTCCTGGCTGCAGTCAGGTTAATTACTCAACACCAGGCTGACAGGCATGGGCTACGAGGCCCAGAAGCTCCGTTCCTCTGCTGTGTGGACAAGCCCTTCTGGAACTGGGGGCCCTGCCCTATGCCCCGAACCTGCCCTGGCAAGAGTCCTGAGACTTGTGGGTTCACCAGCAGCACCATGAGGACCACTCACATACAGGTTCAGAGCCAGCAGCGAGGCCCCTTCACTTCAGGGGTTAGTGGACATGTAGCAAGTCGCATTGTATCCACCCACTGAGCAGCCACAAGGAGGTCAGAGATGCCCAGAGAGAAGGGAAAACCTGGAGGGAGTGATAAAATGGTGCTGAGCCCTGCAGCCGAACCGTATCCCAGCAGATTCAGTGTCTGATCCTGAGCCTTCCACACCTTTTTTCATCAATAACTGAGGTGTAAAGTGGGAAGAAAGGTTAAGACATGACAGAGGACCAGACAGTGGCCTTTGAAATTGTCTTTATTTCTGAACATTCCTTTACAACCATCCACCCCAGGATTAACTCCCACAGATGCACCTTGAGCCCAAATCCCCACCCCTCCTCAAGCAAATCAGATTCATGTTTCTGATTGTAGGAACTTTGCCTTTGAGGTCCCTCAAACTCCCCAACATTTGCCCCTGCAATCCTGTACCCAGGCTGGGTCCCTCCCTTTCCCCATTCACACTGAGCATGAACCTGAAACGTGAGTGGCCCTGCATACTGCGCCCCAGTCCGAGGTTTTAGCTTCCAGGGTCCTAGAAGGAAGCCCTTGTTAGGTGCACCTGGTGAGCAGGGTCACTACAGGGGCACATCACGGGCTCCATGTCATGAAAATTCCACGTGATAAAACTCCCTATGTCTAAAGTGCTTGGTGGCAAGCAGAATTCTCCTGGGTTGTCCTAACTCCCTCAATATCCCCGTGAGCTCAGCCTGGATCAGGGCAACTCTCTCCTGGTCCACAGTCCCCCGGGTCCTGTAACATTCCAGGGGGACAGGGTACAGCTCGAGCTGTAAACTGTGCAGCCCGGTTGTGTGGCGCAGCAGCTTCTCCAAGGTGGCCACAGAGAAGTTGTTTATAGAGATGGTGAAGAAGCTGAGCTGGTGGCAGCGGCTCAGGGCAGGCATTATGGCCTCGACTTGGGAGTCTGCCATCCCACAGTTATCCAGACCCAGGTCCTGGAGGGTGGGTGCCACTGCCTCCAGCAGAGCTCGGAGGGGCTCGGGACTGAAACCGGCAAGGCTGATGCCAAATATATCCAGGATCTTCAGCTGCCTGAGGTTCGGGCACTGGAACAGGTGTGTCAGGTCTGAATGGGTCAGCCGCTGGCAATGTGTTATGGAGAGTTTGTCCAAGGGAGTCTGCAGGCACCTGGGGAGACACAGAGGGGTTAGTGCCTGGGGACGGGGGTAGCCGGTAGAGGGGGTCCTGCAGGTGGCAGAAGATGGATTTGCCCAAGCCCAGGGCTGCCTTCACAACCTGATCAAGGCCAGCAGCCAGGACACCCAGTCTCCTTTTAACCTGGGACAAGTTCACGACATCGCCAGAGCTTCCTGTCCTCAGCTGCCAAGCAGCGCACTGCACTCTGGAGGGCGACTGGACAGAAGGAAAACCCTGGGGACCTGCTCAGAGAACCCGACACAGTGTCTAGATTAAGGGTGGGCATCCCTGAACCTTAAGTTTGGGAGACAAAACCAAGAATGCTGTCAACTCAGGCTTCCTTCTGTCCACTGCTTGGGCTCCAGGCACCAGATATCTGGGCAACATGAGGTTAGTTCATGTAATACATAAACAACAAACATGGCACTAACAGGTTTGACTCCATGGATAGAGCATTGGCCTTTGCATCGACGTGTCTCAGGTTTGATTACCACTCACGCACATGCACCTCATTTGCAGGCTCAATCCCTGGCCCTGGTTGGGGCATGAGCAAGGGGCAACCAATCAATGTTTCTCTCTCTCTCTTCCCCTCCCTTCCACTCTCTAAAAATCAATGGGAAAAACATCCTCAGGTGAGGATTTAATAGAGAGAGAGAGAGGGAGAGAGAGAGAGGGAGAGAGAGAGAGAGAGAAGACCTGGAAAGATCATGCAGCAACAACTGGGAGGCCAGTTTGCAGAGGCGACTTCCACCACAAACCACCTGTCACTCTTTGCAGTCCTTTCCCTCCCACTCCCTTAGCTGCGGAACCCTGCCTTTCCTTTCTACTAATGATCTTCCTGGAGCCCTGGACCACCTCTAACAGATGGGGAAGCTGAGACAGGCTCATGTGTGTTCACATGGCCGGTGGGCACAGAGCTTCTGTCTGGAAATGCTCCATCCGATGTGGCTTTTCCTCCTCCCTCCCCCTTCCTAAGTCCTGGTCACTTAGACATCTCTCCCTAAGGAAGAATTCACAGACCCCGGCTCGCTGGGTCACTCATTGAGCCAGTTCTGCTACCCCTCCTGACAGGCGTATTTCAAAACAAGCTTCCCTAAGGTGCTCACAGGGTAACACCAAAGCAGAAAACAAGACCACTCCCTTGACATTCTGGGGCTGTGTCCACTGTACACAGCTCACCTGAGCATCTGGTCCAGACGGCCTCGGAGGAAGGAGGGAGACTCCATGTTGAGGTCTCGGAGGTGCCGCAGCCTGAGCATCTGAGAGAGGAATTGGGAAAAGGACCGCTGCTCCTCCTGCTCCTGCCTTTCCACCTCCTGCTCCTCTGCCTCTTCCCTCTCCAACTCCCCTTCATCCTCCCACTCCTGCTCCTCTTCCTCTTGCTCCTGCTCTTCCATCTTCAACTCCTCTTCCTCCTCCCACTCCTGCTCCTCTTCCTCTTGCTCCTGCTCTTCCATCTTCAACTCCTCTTCCTCCTCCCACTCCTGCTCCTCTTCCTCTTGCTCCTGCTCTTCCATCTTCAACTCCTCTTCCTCCTCCCACTCCTGCTCCTCTTCCTCTTGCTCCTGCTCTTCCATCTTCAACTCCTCTTCCTCCTCCCACTCCTGCTCCTCCCACTCTAACTCCCCTTCCTGCTCCCACTCCTGCTCCTCTTCCTCTTGCTCCTGCTCTTCCATCTTCAACTCCTCTTCCTCCTCCCACTCCTGCTCCTCCCACTCTAACTCCCCTTCCTGCTCCCACTCCTGCTCCTCTTCCTCTTGCTCCTGCTCTTCCATCTTCAACTCCTCTTCCTCCTCCCACTCCTGCTCCTCCCACTCTAACTCCCCTTCCTGCTCCCACTCCTGCTCCTCTTCCTCTTGCTCCTGCTCTTCCATCTTCAACTCCTCTTCCTCCTCCCACTCCTGCTCCTCCCACTCTAACTCCCCTTCCTGCTCCCACTCCTGCTCCTCTTCCTCTTGCTCCTGCTCTTCCATCTTCAACTCCTCTTCCTCCTCCCACTCCTGCTCCTCCCACTCTAACTCCCCTTCCTGCTCCCACTCCTGCTCCTCTTCCTCTTGCTCCTGCTCTTCCATCTTCAACTCCTCTTCCTCCTCCCACTCCTGCTCCTCCCACTCTAACTCCCCTTCCTGCTCCCACTCCTGCTCCTCTTCCTCTTGCTCCTGCTCTTCCATCTTCAACTCCTCTTCCTCCTCCCACTCCTGCTCCTCCCACTCTAACTCCCCTTCCTGCTCCCACTCCTGCTCCTCTTCCTCTTGCTCCTGCTCTTCCATCTTCAACTCCTCTTAGTCAGGGTACATGCCTGGGTTGCAGGGTCAATGCTCAGTGGGTGGGGGTAGTGTGTGTGTGTGTGTGTGCAGGAGGCAGCTGATCAATGATTCTCTCTCATCATTGAAGCTTCTATCTCTATCTCTCCTTTCCTCTCTGAAATCAATAAAAAAACTTTTTTTTAAAAAAAAGATCAACTGAGTGAGGGCAGGTCAGAATGAGATTGAGCGTCTGAGTTGAGGCAACAATCAGACTCCACTCCCACCCTGAGCTTCTAATTTGAATCCCAGGGTCAGCTTCTCCCTCGCCCTCCTCCTCCCTCTGCTTTGCTCATCTCCTTCCCTTCCATCCCTCCTGCTCAGCACTTCGAGTACCTTTAAGTACCACTGGGAGGAGGCAGGGCAGGTTTTGCAGGTGCCCCTGGCAGTAAGCATTCCTCCACTTCCCACAGTGAGCTGCGCTGTGTGCAAGGGCTCCCTGAGCCTCACTGGCACCTTCAGAAACTTCAGGTCCACCCTTAGGCCCTCCAAACACCCTGACCTCCACTGTCTCCCAGATGCTCAGTCAGGACCCTACCAGGCACCTGGGGCAGCCTTACCTGGGCCGAATCTCCTGTGCAAGCAGAACGTCAAGCGCATCAAACACGGCTTTTAAGCCCATGGCGCTGGTTGGGGCATGATCAGGGGGATGCTGCATCAAGGCCCCCAGAGGGAGGACAGTGAAGGGCCAGGCTTGGGCCATCGCCTTCAGGAGCTGGCAGTGGTGTCCACTACGGTAGGCCAGGACGAACAGGTCCGGGAAGAGCTCGGCGGGCAGGTACTCCAGAGCTGTGATGGCTGAGGCCTGGTCCCTCAGCAGGCGCTTTGCTGTCAGCACCAGGAGTGTGGGTGGCGTCTGGATGCTCATCTTCAAGGTGCTCAGAAAGGAATCCTGCAGAAACGTCTAGGGAACAAGACATCCTTGTCAGGCCAAGCCTTTGAGCCCCATCAACTCACTCCCCTTCCCTCAGAGGAATCAACTCAGGGCCAAAGCCACTGCCTGGCAATGGTGAGAGCCTCAGTGTAGTGAGTCCCATTCTGGACTTGGTGGCCACAGAGCCATAGCTCTTCCCTGCAGGCCCCCAGACAAGCATCTCAGAAGCACCCACATCTTTCATTCCAGTCTGACTAGCAAGTGGGTACGCAGGGGCCTAAAAGCTGACCCCTACCTTTTTTGGGGATAAGTTTCAGAATTATCTAGGGACACAAACTAAATAGTTAAAATGTCCAAAAGTAAAACCCCCAACAGTTAAGATGTTTTCATTGAGGGCGGTGGGGTGTGTGTGTGTGGGGGGGGGAGGGGGAGTGTCAGGGAATCAGCTTGTTTATACATTTAAAAATAAACCAAAGCTCAAATGCAAATGTTTGGAATTCAGCTAAAGCTACACTTAGAGGCGAAATCAAAGCTTTCAATCTGTTAGTCTGTAATGAAGCAAAAAGGACCCTAGCTGGTTTGCCTCAGTGGATACCAGTTCAGCCTGTGGATTGATGTGTCCTGGGTTTGATTCTGGTCAAGGGCACATGCCCAGGTTGTGGGCTCCATCCCCAGTTGAGGTTTGAAGAGGCACCTGATCAATTATTCCCTCTCATAATTGCTGTTTCAATCTCTCTCTTTCCCCCTCCCTTCCTCTCTGAAATCAATAAAAATACATTTTAAGAAAGAAAGAAAGAAAGAAAGAAAGAAAGAAAGAAAGAAAGAAAGAAAGAAAGAAAGAAAGAAAGAAAGAAAGCCTTCTATTTAAGCAGTTTTGCAGTCTTGCTTTTTTTTTCCCCACAGGTTATAGAAAAGGAGAAAAAGGAATAGAGGAGAGGAACCAAGACAGTGAAATGATTTTAAAAGATAAACTGAGGCATATTTTAAAACTTTAAGAGTTTACTTAAGCAAAAATCTATTCCAATCAGACAGTGCCAAACCAGAAGTGGTTAGCACTCCACTGACAGCAGCTCAGAGAGAGGCTTTTATAGAGAAAAGGCAGAAGCAAAGTAAGGAAATTACTAACTACTAGAGGCCCAATGCACGAAATTCATACAAGGGGCTTGGCCCTTGCAGCCCCGGCTGCCTCAGCCGGCCCTCGCAGCCTTGGCCGGCCCTTGCAGCACCTCACAACCCCTTGCAGCCTCGGCAGGCCCTCACAGCCTTGGCCTTGTCCGGAAGGTTGTCTGGAATGTCGTCTGGAAGGTCATTCAGCTGTTCGGTCTAATTAGCATATTAACTCTTTATTATATAGAATAGTTTAAAGCCTAGTTGGCTGTTTGTGTTTAGTGGTTCTTAGGTTTCAATTATGTACACTTGAGGTATTTACAGGCTTAGATTTTGGTTTGTGTACATGGGCCAATGATATCAGTCACCTCAGTCTAATTGCCTCCTTATTTAATTAATTTAACAGTTGCTAATCCCAAATTTTAAAATACTTGCCTTATATGATTTTACACTGTGCCAGGCACCAGGTAGACCAAACAAAAAGCAGTCTACTTGGTTGCTGACCTCAAAAAGTTCACACATACAGGGTAGGACAAAGTAGGTTTACAGTTGTTCATATGGAAAATAATACAATAATTAATAAATAATACAAAAGCCTAATATGCTAAGTGTCTGACCTATCGGTCAACCATTCAGTCGACTGCTTGACCAGTCGCTATGACCCACACTAACCACCAGGGGTCAGATGCTCCGACTGGTAGGTTAGCTTGCTGCTGGGGTCTGGCTGATCGCTGATTGGGACTGGGCAAGACAGGTTGGACACACCCTGGAGCCCTCCCCGGCTGGCCAGACCCCATAGGCCCCTATCTGGACTGAGTAGAATGACCCTGATTGGCCCTGATTGGCCCGATTGCTGGCCAAGCCAAGGGACGCCACCCATGCACAAATTCATGCATCAGGCCTCTAGTTCTATATAATAAAGAGCTAATATGCAAATGGTTGTCACAACCTCATGCCGCCACGCCGAGACGGCTCAGGCACTCAACACTGGGGAGAGAGGAATGGGGACCAGCCAGGCACAAATGAGCTCATGAGAGAGGAATGTGGACCAGCCAGGCTGGGGCCTGGAAGAGAGACAAGCCACCCACCCCGCAGTCCCGGGCGCCAGAGGCTGCACCTGCGCCTGTAGCCCGGGAGAGGGACAATCCGCACACCCGATGGTCCCTGTGGTTCTGGGTGCCAGCGGCTGGGGCTGCAGCCGGGAAAGGGACAAGCTGCACGCCCCGCAGTCCCAGGCACCAGCGCCTGCGGCTGCACCTGTAGCCCAGGAGTGGGACAAGCCGCCAGCACCGTGGTCCCGGGAGCCAGTGCCTGCAACTGTGGCCCAGGAGAGGGACAAGCTGCCCGCCCTG